AGCGCGTCCACCATAGACTTTGTATGTAAACCTGATGCTCCTGATGCTGAAATCGCGTTCGGTGTGAACGCACCATTAGTCTCTGTATGCATTTAAAAACTGAAATCTTGTTTTTCCATGTTGCTTTTGCAAAAAAGTGTCTTCTTCCTCACTGAGTAGCTGTTTAGCCCTTGTTGATCTAATGATTTAAAACTCTTTTCACTGTGGATAACCAACTTCAGCAGCATCTTCACAGAACTTTTAGCTTTTGTTTTGGAGTTGGACACATTTTATACAAGATCATTTTAAGGCACTGTCACGCTGGAATGTTTTAGACAATTTATGCCAACCTATGAAGATTTTGTCCATAAATGAAGATGTCTACACTGATGATGTAACAACAAAACCTACTGGAAGACTCATTTGGATGTATAAATTGTGAAATGCTAATTAGTTGAATAAATATACAACCWAAATGAATAATTTATTTAACAAAAAATTCATGAGTCGGCATAAACTGTCTAAAACGTTATAGTGTGACAGGGATTTTAGGAACACAAAACTCATGTCCTACCTGAGCAGTATGATAGAAACTGAACCCAAGGATGAAGTTATGGAGCTCAATAATTCACTTCTCAATATCTTTATGATTTCTTTTGATTTCCCCATGTTTTTCCCCATCCACAAGTATGTCTCCAAAATATTGTCAACTAACCAATTAAACGCCAACATCTGGGCGTTCTCAAATTGTTTAAAAACATAATAGTCTTAGTGTATTTAAATTTATAACTATGAAAAAGTTATTAAATAAATACTAAACAAAATTTCTTAGTATTTAAGTATTTTACAATACAAAGACCTTGTGAATGCTAACTGATGCCCCCAAAAAGATTTTACCTAATTTAATTTTAGACAGAAAAAATGGATGTCATTACGTATGAAACATTTGATTTCAGCAGCACACTGTTGCATGTGTGTTGTGTCATTTTGACTAACCATGGGCTTGTGCAGCTGAGCTGTGGGAGTAGCCGAGAGCCAGCAGAGCTGTTTCCACCAACTGAGAGAAGAGAATATCCTTCCTGACCAGCACAAATTCTGCATGCTCCTCTCTTCCCTCATATCCATCTGACTGAATCCCTCCATCTGACTGCTCCACCACACAGAAGACTGGAATCATCATACCTGTTGAGGAAATAGATAAAGAAGAGAACATGAGAATTAATTTAAAAAACCTGTTTTAACTATATGCAGTACTGTATGATACCAGTGCAGACTGTCTCCCAGGCAGCAAAGAACCACACTGGTTGCAGGTAAAGTCTGTAGCAGTACACAGTAACAATGCTGTAAACACCTATTA